GAATTGATTTGATTTTATTTTGATTTAATTAAAGAACTGACATCACAGCACTCGGGGCATTCCCATAAGCGCTCCGTCCCCACCTTCAGCAGTCGATTCTTAATTCAACATTTAGGAACATTCATATGTGTATATGTAATTGGCACCATACCTGGTAAAGTTGTGGAAAGTAAAGGTGGCCTGTGTGATGTTGACCACATTAGCCATAGAGCGCTGATTGGTCTATAAACATGTGTCTAGCATCATGAGCCCGACTCAATCGGTAACCAAGTCGCCCATCGGAACAGTATTTGGGTCTGTCTCCTTTGAGCGCATCACTGCTGTAAGAGTCCTTTTCAGGACTGTTGTGGCATGCAGTGCTAAGACATTTTTATATATAGCGCACATAACCAAGTCACAATTATAACCTATAGCTCCCCGTTCTGGTTGAACCTGACAGATTTGTTTCCAGCAAAGCACCTACTTCTTCTTTGCATTCACCAGCTGTAAACTTTGGCGGAAAGTTCTGGTTGTTTGTCCACTTCTGGACTGCAGTCCTGTTCCAGAACCTGAGTGTTGCGTGTGCATCCGTTTGACAGATCTGACTAATTTTTAAGCAGACTGTTGGTTCCTTGCCTCTCAGGCAGATGCACTTCGACTTTGAAGGAAGCTCCCAGTCAGTTGGCTCCTACGACATGCTTTTGGGTAGGCAATTGGTCAATTCTTGTTTCCCCTATAACAGGGCCCCGGAACCCACATGAGAAGCACCTACCCACCATAAACTGGATGTGCCACTGGTGTAAGAAAGGGTTCTTTGTGTTGTGTTATTTCTTTAAATTTTATATATACCCGTACACCATATGTTTATTTTCCAGGCTTTTGTTATGTTAGAAGCAGCTGTAAAGGCCTGTGTATTGATTAATTTTTCTCTGTAAATAAACTATGCAAATATATCCCATTTGTATTTATGTCAATATTAATTGCTGTTATTAGCCTATATAATTGACCTATATTGTGTGTATTTTATTGATCCATCCTTATATTTCGCTGGTATTTTGGGATTTAAACTGTTGCTTATTTATTCTAGGGTACACTGAGCTAAATTAATTAATCCTTTTTGGCCATGCTGCTTATTGAATTGTTGAAAGCATTTTGGTAATAATGGTGGTAATAACGTCAGCTTGTTGATTGATTTTGTCGAATGAGGCCCTGAGCCATATGCACGCCACATAAGCAATTAGGAATTCTTTGTATGGTTGATCTCACCGGCTTTTATTAGATTGTAATCATCATCTTCATCTGCTTCTTCTTCAGGTGACTTGATAGCAGTAGGGGAGGGGGGGGGGGGGATCAGCTTTTTCCAACGTCTGGTGATCTCCTATGGCATGGATCAGTCTGTGCACTGATATCTTTCCATGCCAGGACCCCTCCCCCCCCCCCCCCCCTCCCCCCCCCCCCCCGCAAAAAAATTAAATTATTTATTGACCTCTACTTCTTTTTCTATGCATTCTTTTGGTCATCATATGTTTCATTTTTTTTTTTTTTTTACTTTCAAATTGTGAATACCTCTTTCTGGTGTTCAGAATAAGTTTTTGTTGGGCCATATCCTGTTTCAAAACATTTAGTTTGCCTCCTGTGAGTGTGCAAAAATTTTAGCATTTTCTTTGGGAAAAGGGGGGGGGGGGGGGGGAGGAACCACAGAAGCCAGTGGTTCAAATCTGCATCCTGGCAGATTTTCTTTAAAATTGACCTTGGCTCCCAGGTTGACTCAGCCTAAAATGTTTACCAGATTATGTTCTGGGAAGTAAAGGTGGCTGGCGTGATATTGACCACATCACCCACCCAGTGCCGGGTGGTCTGTAAAAATATAGGTCTGGCACTATGTGACAGGAGGTGTTGAAAAGGGTCGGTTAGTTTACTTACTATGTGCCCAGCATGCATGAAGGTTTGGCACGGGGTCCTTTTCTGTTTTACTATATGTCTAGTGCCCAAATGCACTGATGCTTGGAGATATATTTTTGCTTGCAGTCCTAGCTGTGGATCGGAAGGTTGTAGGTTCGGTTCCTAACGAGGGCCAGATTTTTTTCAAGAATGACCTTAGCTCCTAGGTTCATCCAGCCTTGAGTGGGTACCAGGTACAGTCTGGGAAGTAAAGGCAGGTGGAGTGATGCTGACCACATCATCCACCAAGTGCCGACTGGTCTATAAAATATAGGTCTAGCCCTATATACCCAATATGTCTGAAAGGCATGGAAAAGGGTCCTTAAGAGTCCTGTGTAAACATGCATTCATTTGTAGCATTTTTTTTTAAATCACTCTTTTTCAAACGCCTGAAGACAGGGATTTATTACATCAGATGTTCTTAAATCTGTTTTCAATAACAGTGTCTACTTATCTGTATCAACTAATCCTTTGACCATGCTGTTTATTGAACTGTTTGAAGCATTTTGGTAACAATCGTGGTTAGATAAGTTTGCTGATTGATTTTGTTAAGTGAGGTTCTGTGCCCTGATTGATTTTGTTGAGTAAGGTCGTGCGGCATCTGCACACCACATTACGTGGTAAAAGTTATTTTTGTAATTGATCTCCTGGGCTTTTATTGAATTATGATCATCATTTTCTTCAAATTCCTTGACAGCTGACATGGACGTGCTTTCCCATGTCTTGTGATCTCCTATGGTATGAATCAGTTTGTGCGCCGATATCTTTCCATGCCAAGAACACAGATCTAAATTCTTTGTTGAGCTTTCTACTTCTCTTTCTATACATCCTTTCAGTCATCATATGTTCCAGTTTTTCTGATCTTATAGTGTGGCCCAACAAATTATGAATACCTGTTTCTTTGTGTCTGCTGTAAATCTTTCCATTTTTCACATGTTCCAGTTTTTCTGGTCTTATAGTGTGGCCTAACAAATTATGAATACCTTTTTCTTTGTGTCTGCTGTAAATCTTTCCATTTTTCACAAGTTCCAGTTTTTCTGGTCTTATAGTGTGGCCTAACAAATTATGAATACCTGTTTCTTTGTGTCTGCTGTAAATCTTTCCATTTTTCACATGTTCCAGTTTTTCTGGTCTTATAGTGTGGCCTAACAAATTATGAATACCTGTTTCTTAATCTGTAATCTGTTGTCTTTCTCTGTGTCTGCTGTAAATCTTTCAATTTTTCACAGTAAATCTTTCCATTTTTCACAGTAAATCTTTCCATTTTTCACATGTTCCACATTTTCTGGTCTCATAATGTGCTCCAACAAAGTTTGCATTCCTCATTCTGACTGTGAGATCAGTTGTCTTCCTGAATCTCTGTTTGCTGTACATCTTTCAAGTTGTCACTGCATGCTCGTTTTCTGGTCCTATAGTGTGCCCTAGCAAATTATGAATAACTCCTTTTGATGTTTAAAATAAGATTGTTTTGGGGTCATATCATGTTTTAAAACAATTAGATTGCTTCCCATATCTGTTCAAACAATTGTTAAGCATTCTTTTATAGAACCCTTAGGAGCCACTGTAGGCCCAGATGTCGCTTGTTCACATCTGCGTCATGATGGATTTTCTTCAAAATTGACCCAGGTCGACCTAGCCTAGAATGGATACCAGATTATGTCAGTTGGTATATAAGTGCACTGGCTTGTTTGCATCCTGTTTCTGTTGCCAGAACAATTCACTTATGCTCCGAGAATATACTTCCTAGATATCTACCATTCAACCCTCTATGTAGCAGACTCAGAATTCCTGTGTTGCATTATTTAGCAATGCCTTTTTCATATTCTAAGTCTTTAAAGCATGCCATAAATGATCATGGTTAACGTTGACTTCCATTTGTTCCTTAGTTATTAGGTCGCAACCGTCCCTGTGAGGGATGTAATTTTTCATTATTTGAAGCCCCACCCTGGCTTTTCCGGTGACCCTAAATATAGCCAGACCATAAATATGGCCTATCAGCTGAACAGGGGTTTCGGTACCTCTCCACGGGTAATCCTCGTCCGCATGGTGGCACTTTGTGTCACTAGGTGTTTTTCGCTTTGTGTGATGTCCTGGTGGAGTACAACTTACATACATACAAACAGTTCCTATGAATCTGTCCGGAGTGCTGTGATGATAATCCTTTCTAATCACTAATCAGTATACATACACTTATTAAGTGTATTTGCCTGTCTGTTTTTCTGTCTCTAAGTGTTTTGCTTGCAGGCATACATTTTTATTTCTTTGTAACGTGGACAAATGCGCAGAATCCTGTATCAGATTAATTTAATTTATGGGGCAGGTTTTTTGTGTGTCGATGGGTGCTAGATTTGTCTTTCATTTAATGTTTCACTGAGAGAAGCGAGTTGGGATTTAGACTTTTAAATATACACTAGTCAGAAGATTGGGAGGTAAAGGTGGCCAGCATGATGCTGACTACATCACCCACCAAGTGCCCTCTGGTCTGTTAAATATGTGTCTAGCCCTGTAAACCCAGTAAGTCTAAAAGCATGGAAAAGGGTCCTTTACTTTTACTTTACCTACCTGTTGAGGCCTGCAGGCTACACTCCAGGCTAGTGCTGCCCCAACTATGACTTTTTGGAGGTTGTTTAGGGTAGTTGGGGTTTGTCCTGCTGTTTGCCATCCAAGATGAGATGAGAAACTTCTCAAGGGTCGATTAAATTTGCAGGCGGCAGATCTCAGGATAAACAACCAGTTCAGACCAGGGATGATTTCACTAGGCTATTTTGTATTTAGTAGTTTGTCATTGCTTTCTGAACATTCAGCTCTTGATACCACTGTTGAAACCAATGCAAGGTGGTCTGTTGCCAGATCACCTGCCACTGGGTCTGAACTCGGTACCTTGGAATTACAAAATGTGTTCACAAATGCCATCAGATCAGAGAAAGCTTCTAATAAAAGTATCAGTTATCATGTATGTGATATTTCCCAGTTTGTTCATCATCATCAAGATGCGGGTGGTGCAGCTGAAACTGAAACAGATAGCCAAGCTGGCACTTGGCGGCTCTGTGATTTTACTAGTCCTATTGCTAGTGATCAAAATGTTTGCCTCCCCTGATTACAAACCATACTCCAACAGCGTCAAATTGGTAAGTATTCTTTCATCAGTTATATATATCTAAAGATATTTTTTGTACTTGCTTTCCTCATCACTTCTGATGTGCCCTAAGTTATAAAATAAGATAAAATTTAAATAAATTTCTATATTGGAGGGAAGTTGTGTTAGTGTAATGGGTAGATACTCACCTGCCAGCCCAAAGGTCTGCAGTGAAAAAGCAGATAGTTTTGCTAGCTCTGCACCACTTGGTGGTAAATTGATCCGTAACAGGCTAGATATTGTCAGGCTCTTTGGGAGTGAACAAACAGTGCAGAGTCACAGATAGATCATCTTGGTCTGAAGTGATTGTTGCAGCAAGGAATTACCAGGCTGGCCTTTTCTGGACACCTCAAGAAGAGGCGGGATGGACATACAGTCAGAGAGTTACTTGTACCATCAAAATTGAAATTTTTGCTGAAATGCCATGTGATCTTTAACCCCTGGGTTTAAGACCTCCCTGTCCTACACCGCCCAAAAATGAGTAAATACAGACAGTAATGACACATTAATGTCTCATGATCAACATCAGGTGGCTTGTCAAACTGTATGGGTGATTATGCTTCTCTGTAACTTGGCATGGATGGAAGTGAAAAGCAACAAGCAGAGGAACTGACCACTCCACTTCAGTTGTCATAATTTAGAACATGTTGCTCCCTGTTTCTGCAGAAACTCTGTATTTGATTGTTTTTATTTCTTTGTAATACAACCTATTCTTTTGTTTAACCCCATTTTCAGAGCCTGTGTATTTTTTGCTATGTATAGTTTAATAAAATATGACTTTTTCAAATGAACATTCATATTTCTAGAGTCTTTTTGTTCTTTTCCCTTCCAATAAAATACTACTTATTTCTCTGTTTATCCATATCTCTAGTGCCTTAAAATTGATTTTTTAATTGTTTATTCATTGTCCAGATTCTGGAACCCTAAAGTATGTCGTATAGTACATAGCATTGGATTTCTAATTCAAAATGTATTGTTTCTCTCTGTAGATGTTAAAAGAGGTTAGTTGCGTATCCTTTACAGGACGTTGCAAAACCAACCCCAGCAGCCCTTGGCTGTTGTGGGGTTTCTCTAGGCAATTTACGTCCAGTAGTTTGCCATTGCTTTCTGTACGGTCGGCCCACCGACATCACTGTCGAAACCAACGCAAGGCGCATGGCCGCAGCTGGGATCGAACCCGGTACCCCAGCATTACGAAGCGTTCGCATCAACTTAGCCACAGAGCCGACAGATGTTAATAGATAAAATAATATATGTTTCCTTCAGAGTCGGAGAGCGGTTGCCTGAGAGGCAAAGAGTCAACATTCTGCAAACAAATAAGCCAGATCTGTAAATCCGATAAGCATGCAAAACTCTGGAATAAGATCAGCTTCAGAGGTCCTTCGTTGTTAGCATCCTTTGGATATTCTCTACAGGTCATGCTGGTGTGTTGGGAAATGAGCAAGTGGATAGACCGGCCGGTTCTGCACCACTCGGTGGTGAATTTATGTGTGACAAGCTAGATGTTGGGAAAGCTCTTTGGGAACGTGAACATTGCGGAGGCACAAATAGATCTTTACGGTCTGAGGAGAATGGTGCTGCGAGGAGTTACCAGGGGATCTGGCCAACACTCAACACTCAAGGGAGAGGCGAGATGGATGTACAGTCAGACAGTTGCTGGTAACATCATAACTGGAACTCTTCGCTTTGCTGCTGAAGATGGGGGGGGGGGGGGCAGAGCATTGGAACTCTTCTCTTTGCTGCTGAAGATGGGGGACGGAGCACTTATGGGAGTGTCCCGGCTACAGTGATGTCAATTCTTAAACCTGCATTCAGAATTCATTTGAAACAAGACCAATGTAGGGGATGAGCAGCCATAACTTTCTGCCGGGGTTAACAGCCGGTGAACACTAGGAAGGAAGGAAGCATATATGATTTTGTTTGTGCACGGGTGACACAGATTCAGGGGTACCAAAAAATCAGGTTTGTGTTAAAAATTAAATGTATTGCTGCCGGAGACTAATAATACACACACCCCCGCTGAGATCAAAATTTAGTTCATGTCAACTGAGTGTTCATCTTATTTGAATTCGTATTAACGAGATTAAACCTGTTTATGCTGCATGTAGTTGCCTGCGTTGAACATGATCGTGTCATAGTAGTGTTACAAGTACTGACCATTGAAAAAAGAGCACATGTTTAAAAGTCTAATGATGTGTAGGTTCTTTTTTTGACCTTTGAGAAAATGGTGGGTTGAATCCGCTCGAAGAAGCTCAGAGAGTTCACAAAAGATTTTCCACAGCGGGGTCAAGCGCATATTGTTCCAACAGAAATAAACCTTCGCCAGAATTGATGCAGTAGTACAGGTGAAATTTTGCCAAAGCATAGCATCACTAGCAAAAGAATTAGCATACCACAGATGTTGACCAACTACCGAAAGGAGGAACGCAGTAAACACTTGGTTCAGTGAGCAACCACAACCCCTTTTTTTTTGCAGACAGCAATCACTGCCTAACTAAGCAGTATGCCTACAGCAACTATTTTGACCAACCCCTGGTGCATAATTCGTTTAGAATGAATGCTTTGTTTAACTCTACCACACCTATTGATGTTTCATTCATTTGCAATAAAGTGGTTGGAACGGGTTTCAAATGAACACACTTGATATATATGGTTCATATTTTGCAGGATGATCTGCCACCATCAGGTCAGAAATGGAACAATGCATTAAATCCCTTTGCTGAACACATACTGCAGCCCCCAGTCAAACGGGAGGAGGGGGACGGCAATGATAATATACCATTCCCAGAAAAACAGTTGGGGCCTGAAGCAGTTTTCAAGGAAGGGGTCCTAGGAAACTATGAGCCTAAAGAAGTGAAACAGTATGGGCCAGGTAAGGTACCTGTAGTTTTAGTTCACCACAGTAGAGATCAGATTTTTTCTTTTTTCCCCCCAGACTACAATAGGAGATTCTTCATCACCATCATCATCACTTTTGGCTGGAGTTGTTGACGAAAGAGAGCAGGGGGGGGGGGGGGGGGGGGGGGTTGTGTAATGAACAAACGGATAAACTTTTTTTTTTTCAGAGGGTCATAAATTGGGCATGGAAGCCCATCTTACGTCGGCCCTTCCAGTCACTCATCTTTCACACAGCAGAACTCAGGTTTTTTAACGAGACTGAAGTTCAGATGTGGATGAACAACCAGAACTTTCCGCCGCAGTTTACAACCTGTGAAGGTGAAGAAGAAGAAATATAAATATATACCACATATGCACTCAAGCATTCATACATAATAACCACTCATACGTACGTACAGTGAACAGTACACTCATTTACGCTTTCTGTGATGCTCTCGGCAAGAGGCAAGCAATTCTGTAAAGAAAGGGCCGAGCCATACATAAAAGTTTAGAGCAATAAAGTCCATCTCACATCAGCAATTTGGTTGTCCATTGGCATCATGTAAAAGATACACAAACTAAAGTTAACTCTAAAGTACAAAACCAGAGTCATTAAAATGATTAACAACTGCATAGATCTGTAAAAGTTAGTATATAATGCAGTGTATTTTCTTTTCCTCCTCCTTTGTTGTTGTTGTTCTTTTTCTTCTTCTCTATCTTCTTCTTTTTCTTTCTCTTCTCCTTTTTCTGTCTCTTTTTTTTTTTTCTACTACTACTATTACAACTTTTACTACTACCACCACAACCAACACCACCACAACCAACACCACCACTACTACTGCTGCTGTTGCTACTACTACTATCTTCTTCTATACTCACCTTAAAAGAGTAGTAGGCATATTCTGTTGTGGTTTAAAGCAAGGCTGCATTATGTGCGTCTTTGGCCCAACACAACCGGTTTCAGCATACCCTTAATATTGCCTTCTACGTCATGCTTGTTGGGAGACTGGGGGCAGTGGTCCATTCTTTTCAGATGGGGACGCAGAAATCAGATAAGGAGAGTAACATTGATTGATGTGTAAGGTGAGTGTCATTGATTAATGTATAAGGAGAGTAACATTGATTGATGTCTATTACTGGATGTAGGAGAGGAAGGCAAGCCTGTGGTGACAAGTCTGGAGGAAAAAGACGAAGCTGACCGCCAGACTAGAGAGTATGGGTTTAATATGGTTGCCAGCGACAAGGTGGCAATGAACCGGACAATACCAGATACCAGAATGCCAGAGTAAGTATGATTAATTTAGTTAACATGATTGCCAGCAACAAAGTGGCAATGAACGGGACAATACCAGAGTGCCAGAGTGAATAGTAGTTGATCAGTTTAGTTAACAGTATTGTCAGAGTAATTAGTGTGTCATCAGTTTGATTAACATGGTTGTCAGAGTGAGTAGTACTACATAACATACAGTTTGACTAGACAACTTAACGGACTGAATAGAAAGTACTGAATCGTGCTTGCACCGTCACTGTTCAGTCTACTATTTTCAGCAATGCTCACTGATGCTTTGTAAATGATCACACTGGAATCGACATAAATTACCGCATGGATGGAAAGCTGTTCAACCTCAGGACCTGCTGAAAGCAAAAAGAAAATCTAAATCAGACACCATCAGGAAGCTCTTGTTTGCCGACATTTGTGCCCTTTATGCCAACACAGAAGCGGATATGCAGCACAACATCAACAAATTCAGTGATACCTGTACAAACTTTGGGCTCACCATCAACAAAGATAAAACTGTAGCCATGCACCAGCCAGCCCCAGGGCAAAGATACATCGAGCCCAATATCACAATGAATGGCCATAGATTAAACATTGTCAGTAAATTTACTTATCTAGGCAGCACCCTTTCACAGAGCGCCACAATTGATGATGAAGTAAATGCAAGGATCTCTAGGGCTGGCGTTGCCTTTGGCAGATTGTACAAAAATGTTTAGAACAGAAGTGGCATAACCCTGTAGACAAAGCTTAAAGTATACAGAGCAGTTGTATTAACTACACTGCTGTACGCATGCGAAACATGGACTGTATACCAGCGCCAGGCTAGAAAGTTAAACCACTTTCACACAGTCTGCCTTAGGAAACTAATGCAGATCAGATGGCAAGACAAAGTACCTGTTACCGTAGTCCTTGAGAAAGCAGCCATGCCCAGCATCCACACTCTACTGATGCAGTATCAAATTTGTTTAGCTGGTCATGTGGCACGCATGCCAGATCACAGGCTCCCAAAAAAACTCTTCTGTGGTGAGCTGCAAAATGGGAAACGTTTCCAAGACGGGCAAAAGAAACGCTTTAAGGACACCTTGAAGTCTTCACTCAAAGCATTTGAGATGAATGACACCAATTGGGAGGCTGCCTCTCAAGACCGAAATGCATGGCGTGCAGCTCTGCACAAGGGCGCGGCTGCATGTGAAGGAAACAGAACAGCAAGACTGATTAAGAAAAGGATGGACAGAAAGGCGACTACAGGAGATCCCCTCCCCGGCACAACGCTCATTCCCTGTCCTCACTGTCCAATATCTTTTCGGGCTTGCATCGGCCTCATCAGTCATCTTCGTACTCATACTTGTTGAAAAAGAGTGGTCATCATCATCTTGATGGACAACACACAAACAGACAAGACAACAGAGATTCTATAAAATCAGGCTCATCATGACACCAAGAAATACCTAATGGGGGAAATGTGGATATGAAGGGCTATATTATGAAACAAAATAAGAAAGAAGACGTTTGAAGAGACAGAGGGAGACAAATATTGTAAAGTTAAATAAATAGATAAATTAATAACATTAAATAAAAATTGTTTGAAAAATGTATCACTCCCTGACTGTGAATGAAATGATTTTCTAAGAAATAGCGGCTGTTGTGATCACCGGAGGAAGATTTAATAGCAGTAACTTAGATTTTGCTTTCACCTTGGGTTAGATTAAGTGGTAGTTGTTTGTTAAGGATGTCAAGAATGTTCAGCGCATGACATCATGGTGCAGATGAAGATGATGATGTCATGGTGACTATTTAAAGATGGCCACCCCCTTGTAGAATGGCAGATATCATGTTTCTGTCTCATCTTCCAGGTGTAAATACTGGCACTACCCTGAAGACCTGCCTACTGCCAGTGTGATTGTTGTCTTCTTCAATGAAGGCTGGTCGACCCTGATGAGAACTGTACACAGCATCATCAACACAAGTCCCCCGAAACTGCTAAAGGAGGTTGTGCTTATTGATGATGGCAGTGATTATGGTAAGTCCAGTTTTTCAATGTTCATTTTATTGGTGTTAATTATTGAGAATTCAGGAAGTGCCTACAGGAGAAGTTGAGAGTTAGAAGGTGATGTAGGACTCCCCATTCTTAGCTGTTGGCAGTTTTAGAATTTTGTGAACGAACTCTTCATGTTTCTTCGGTTCTTACTTAAAACCTACCCCAAACAGGGAAAATTCACAGGTCACGGGACAGTCTAATATTTCAGGAGGTGGTAGATAGGCTGCATGCAGTTGTGGGACCTAGGCTGCTCTCTCTCCTGGGACGTAGGTTGGTTGGGAATAGGGCCAGTTCTAGATGTTTTGGGGTCGTTAAAAGCATCAGAAAGTCCGGAAACCCAGTCCTACTACTCTCTAAAATGTTGGACAGTCCTGTGACATCATCTGGGGTAATATATCACGAAAGAACTGTTTCTTCTTCTTCTTTTCATTATCCCTGCCAACAGATCTCTATGAAGTCTCTGGTGCGACACATGTCCTCAATTGATCTGTTCAGCTTGGGTTCCACAGGAATGCCAACAGGCCAACTCCTGGATCTTGTATGGAGCATATCTGCAGCACCTCTACAGCATTTTATTGTGCCTGCCTACATGGACAGAGTTCTGAATCCTCGATCTTGAATTTCTTGTACAAATGACTGCAGAATCATGAGTTGCGAGTGGGATTATCTTCACAGCACTCCCGGCACATCCATAGGTGCTCAGATACCCCCTTCAACATATTTATCAGCATCGCGTGATTAATAGTGCCAGTCCTATACTGGTTAACAAAAATTTATGTACATCTGGTGTGCTTCTCATGCTTGGCTGTGCCACTCTTTCCTCCTGATTCTCATATTATTCATATTCTTAGCAGCGATGTGGACACATTGCTTCTGAAATCCTCGGAACGTCCTATCTCTCTAAGGGCATTGACAATGTCTGAGTGATCCATGGGCGAGCCATCTCCAATTAATGTGGAACCTGCCAGTCTGTCAGCTCTAAATGGCTGCAGAGTTTGTTGTGTCCAGTTTGCGGCCTAAATACAGGTGTCTGCTTCTTTCATATGAGAAGGTTGATTAAGTCTTCATGATTGTGCTCTGAATGTAACACATTTCAGGGAGTTTCCAGTTTGAAGCGCTGCCTGGTGGAACAAATTTAAACAAGCTCACCTTTTTTACAGTAGGAACGTACAGGATTTAATCCACTCTGAAATTTTTCATGTCTTTTTTTATTTCAACTAATGTATCAACCAAAAGCTGCAAACATCGCAGGTGTGCTGTAAATGGGCACTAGACATTTATCTCTTTGAGTGAAGAATTCATTTGTTTGCATAATAATAATAAACACAGAATCAGTAATTTGTCACAATAATCTCTTCTTGTCTGTTTCCTCCAGTTAATTCCTCAAAGTATTGGAGGGAGATGTAAGGGTCTTCTGTGTTGTATAAGTTGGTCTTCATTTCTGTAAGGCCGTTGTTAATGCCTTCGTTCCATCTTCTGCATGGTCTTTCCTTTGCTCTGTGTCCGTTATGTTACTTCAGTGTGGCTGTCTGTTGCACTTAGTACCAGGATATTCTCATCAGATGACTAAACCATCTCATCTTCTGCTTTTGAATAAACTAGTGCCAGTCCTAGTGATCATGATTTATTTTTCACTGGCACAGGAACGGAGCATGTATGTGGTGAACTGACTGCAGTGAAGTTGAAACTTTACTACTGCTGCTGCTACAACAACAACTACTACTACTAGTACTAGTACTACTAGTACTACTACTACTACTACAACTACTACAACTACTACTACTACTACTACTACTACTACTACTACTACTACTACTACTACTACTACTACTACTACTACTACTACTACTACTACTACTACTACTACTACTACTACTACTACTACTACTACTACTACTACTACTACTACTACTACTACTACTACAGCTTTAACTACTATTACTGCTTCTGCTATGACTGCTACTGCGATTGCTGCTACTACTACTACTTCTGCTTCTGCTATGACTGCTACTGCTACTACTATTGCTGCTGCTACTGCTGCTGCTGCTGCTACTAATACGACTACCGCTAATACTGCTACTACTGCTGCTACTACCACTTCTACAATTACGACTACCGCTAATACTGCTACTACTGCTACTGCTGCTGCTACGACTACTTCTACTATTACTACTTCTGCTAATACTGCTACTACTGCTACTGCTGCTGCTGCCACTACTGCTGCTGCTACTACTACTTCTACTACTACTTCAGCTAATACTGCTACTACTGCTACTGCTGCTGCTGCTACTACTACTAGGACTACTACTACTGTTTCAGTGATTAATAAGATTACAACTTCTGGAAATCCCCAGATTTCTTGCAGGAGAGACTGGAGACATACATCAAACAGTTCAACGGGCTGGTGAAGCTGTTTAGGAATCCAGACCGGCTTGGACTGATCACAGCAAGAACTAGAGGAGCTGAGCATTCCACAGGGGACGTCATTGTGTTCCTGGACGCACATTGTGAGTGCAACAGGAATTGGTTGCCCCCCTTGCTGACCCGCATCAAACATGACAGGTACGCATTGCCCTTAGGTACAAACTTACAACTTGTTATTTTATCATTTTTATTATCTGTCCTTCAGGACAGTTAGTTGTGCATCCTTTACAGGACATTGCAGAACCAACCACAGCATTTTTTTGGTTGTTGTGGTTTTTCTAGGCCAATTTCATGTTTAGTAGTTTGGAATTGCCCAAATACTTGGGTACCCTGATAAAATCAGATGGAAGATACATTACATAACTTACATGTCGAATAGCTTAAGCAAAAGCAGCATTTTACAAAGTGAAGAAAATTTTTTGTAGTTTTTCTTTGTCAATTAAGATGAGAAAGAGAATTCTTAATAGCTATGTAAATCATTTATTGATATACAGATTTTAATCATGGACAGTTAGTGAATTAGTAAAAACTTATTTGGAAGCTGTGCAGATGCAGTTTTATTTGACGAATGATGAGAATACCCTGGAGAGATAAAAAGAGTAATGAAGATGTCTTGAAAGAAACTGACTTACGAAAAGAACTGATTGCCTACATCAGAAAGAGACAATCTACATTCTTTGATCATGTGATGAGAAGGAGAAAACTGTCGTAAAAACATTGTGATGGTAGGAAAGTTGGAGGGAAGAAGAGGCAGAGGGAAACCGAAAGAACAGATGCTGGAAAGTTTGACATCATGACATGGAAGATCATCTATGTCAGAGTTGACTGAAAGTACACGAGACAGAAGATTGTGGATAAATAGACATGACTACCAACGCCACATGGTATGGACTCTAAGAAGAAGTAAATTGTTGTCGTTGTTCTCTGTAGGACTATCTTGGCGGTGCCGATTGTTGATGGCATCAACTGGGACACCATGGCATACTATCCCGTCTACGACCACAACCACCACCGAGGGATATTTGAGTGGGGATTTCTTTACAAGGAGAAGCTGGTGCCACAGAAAGTCTTGGACGAAAGAAAACATCCCAGTGAGCCATATAAGTAAGTGAATTATAATTGTTTTCTCTTTTGTCTGCTAATTGTTCTTGAAGTCGTTTGTGAGTATTTATGTTTTGTTACCAAGCAGCTCAGCATGCATTTTTGGGTCACTCCAGGCAACATACTTTTCTTGATTTCTTCTATAAAAGATAATTGGTACCCAAAAAAAGTGAGATATCCAGTTGGTAAGCTTTAACTCCTCCGGTCCCAAACAAGGTGTCATTTGTGACCAGATGTATTATAATTTGCTCTTGTACTTTTATTTTTGGCCACACCATAGTAAACAAAAAAATCTTGCTTACCCAGTTTTTAGCTTTTTTGAAAGTAATACACTCAGGGTTTGTCCTTTTGGTTATTTATACATTTGGGCATCTCCTGTAAAAGTGGTAACCTCTTCTGTCACACAGTGTTTCTTGTGTAACTCTTGCATATCGTCGTCATCATCATCGTCATCATCTAATTGTGCCATTTATGTGTCACATAGGGCACACAGTGTTTTCCTCCACTCCCTTCTATCCTGTGCAATTTACATCCCTCGGCAGCTGCCGTAGCATAGAAGCTAGATTCTCACCAACCTACCTGAAAGTCTGGAGTTCAAATCCTGAAAGAGGTGGATTTTGTTTTCAGAGTTGACTCCCAGATCGACCCAGTCTCAAAAGCAGACTAAGTAATGTCTTGGGAAGTAAATAAAGCTAGCATGATGACCATATCACCCATTAAATGCAGACTGATCTAACAAACAAACAAAATAGTTCTTGCGTATATGCTGATGTGCTGTAGACATGTCAAATGTTCTTTTCTTGTTTTTGTATTACTTTTATCGTTGAATGTCTTTTACTTCTGCTTATCTTTTTTATGAACAATGATGGTGAGCAGAGACAAAGGCTGTACACACAAGAGTTTAATGTTAACAGACCACGAGGTGGAAGAAGACAGTGGATAGATAATAATGTACAGGCAGATCCGTCGACACTTAAGAGTCACCAGCTGGGAAAAGAAAGCCCATCATGGAGCTGTAAGAGGCTTAAGGACCCCCCCCCCTTAAACATCATCATCATCATCCTGTAACACTACGTGTCGTTGGGTCACCAGTTTCTGTTGACTGTCTGATCAGCTGTCTCCACCTTTGGCGGTCAGATGCGATGGACTTCATGGCTGCATGCCTGAGACCTGTCCTGTCAGTCAGGTTCTGTAACCAGGTCTTTCTTGGTCTGTCTCTTCTCCTCTTTCCCTCTACTGAGCCCTTCAGTATTGTAGTTAAAAGAGGTTCATAGTTGCCAATGGGATGTATAATTTTATGGCAAACCTTTTCGTTTGTAATGTGGTCTCTGTATGATATGCCAAGAATCTTTCTGAAACATCGCATTTCTAATGCTTGTATCTTTCTTTCAAGTTCAGCTGTTGAGGTCCACAATTCACAGCCCCTTAACCTTGCATAGAAATTCTGATTAAAAATATTGATTTATACTTTTCATATTTCAAGTATATTATTATATTGATTTGCTCAGCACAATAATTAGTTAGTTAGTTAGTCTTTCCTCTTGTGCTTAGGGCGGCACATAGGGCAGAGGTCATATCTCTCCATTTTTGGCGGTTTGTTGCCACCTGTTTTAGGTCTGTCTTGGATGTTCATTAGGTCCATGGTTGAGCCTTCCCTGATGATGGTTCAACACAGGGTCTCTCTTGGTCTTCCTTGTTTTCTTTTTCTCTTCCGGTGTCCCGTATGAGGGCTTGATGGGGAAGTTTGGTCTTATTCATTCTCAGTGAATGCAAGATGTAGTTCCAGTGGCGCTTTCTTATAAAATTTGATACATCATCTTACTTGGTCTCTTGTTTTATTGTCAGCACAATGATGATAATAATAATAGTAACAATGTGCTTTATTGTAAAACAAAATAATTGTTAAAAAATTTTGTTGTTGCTTAAGTAGTCATAGAGACACCCCCTTTCCCCCCAAACCTCTCCCGTTTTTTACCTCAAAACTTGTCAGGAATAGGCTGGGAAATTTCTACAGCGGGGTAATGGGAAGGAGGATTTAAATCATCTCTTCCTTCTCCCCATTACACCCCCATATTTTCTTTATGTCTGCACACCTGATCCCTAGGGGTCTGGGCAACAGATACCAGGGTTGTGTCAAAGTTCTGTGATGCCATTTAAAATAAAACCCTCAGCTTTCGTTATCTCCATATCTCAGGTCTCCAACCCACGCCGGAGGGCTCCTGGCCATGGACAGAGCCTATTTCTTTGAGCTGGGAGGATATGATCCCGGTCTGAAGATCTGGGGAGGCGAGAACTATGAGTTAGCTTTTAAGGTCGGTCTGTACGTTGTGTTGTGATATTTCTGTGGCAGGGTTAAAGACAGGACTTTTTTCTTACCAAAACAAAAACATAACACGTATACAAAATATGCATGATATGTATAAAAATGTGTTGGTACTCACCAAAAACTGTATATAAAAAGAGGTCACGGTACTAACCACAGACTGTCTAATACAGTAGCTAGAAAGAAAAAAAAACACATGCCCTAAAGAAGGTGCCAGAGCTGCATACCGGCAGGAAATAAAAAATTCGCTGGTGACAGCTGAAGGGAAGTGAAGGACTCTTTTTTTCACACCAAATGTGTGCATTGAGTATATGGTGCTAGACTCATAACAGTGGCCCTTGATGGCTGATGTGGTCAACATCTTGCATGCTGCCTTTACTTCCTGTGGCATTTCCTTGTACTAATTTTAGGCTGGGTCAGCTTTGAAGCCAAGGTTAGTTGTCTGCCAGTCTGCCTCAATATGGAATGGAACCCAAGACCCTCAGGCTGGCAGGTGAGTGTGTAGACACTGCTGCTACTGCAGTTCCCAGTATTATAGGACAGGGGTAATTGAGGTGATGGTTCACTAGCTGTACACTGTGTGGCTTTTTAGGTTCTTAAAACATAGAAACTATTCACTAGGTAATTGGGGTGATGATAGCACTTATTAATGCAACCAAAATGCTTGAGGAAAGAACAATTAAAAACAGAAAAAACATTGTTTTCCTGTGTGACTGCATGTCAGTCCTTCAGGTGACTCAGAGAGATCTACGAGACAACATGGGGAGAGAACTGATGACCTGCCAGCTTAACAGAGTCGCAGAAAACAATCAAGTCATTCTCTAGTGGATCCAAGCTCACTGTGGCATACCAGGAAAGGAGTTCGTGGACAGACTTGTGAAGAATGGAACAAAGGAGAAACAACACACCCACTCATTGTCATTATAAAGCCAAAAAAAACACTTATCAAGGGAAAATACAAGGAATTGTTGAGAAAACAAACCAACAGTAAACATCCACAAGATTTCATCAGCAGACTCAACAGAAAGCTACATACAATTTTCCGTCTACGAACAGGACACTGCAGGCTCAACTATCACCTGCATAAAATAAAAACTGTACAGTCCCCACCGTGTGCCTGTCTGACAGGACCGCACACACCTGAGCACATTCTGCAGACCTGCCCACTCTACCTACAACATCAGAAAGACACCTGGCCTCAAGAGCAAAGTGTGCAGAACAAGCTATAGGGAACCTTGCAGGACCTGCTGCTGACATGGGAGTTCATAGAGGCAACCCACCTGATGGTCTAACCTAAGCATACGAAACCGAACGCAAAGAAGAAGAAACTATTCACTAGATAACTGGGGCAATAATACAGTGTCTGTATACTATATGGCTTTTGATGTTCTTAAAACATAACAAACTATTCTCTGGGTAATTGGAGTGATGATACACTTGCTGTATCATGTGGGGTTCTTAAAACATAACAAACTATTCACTAGATAATTGGGGGTGATAATACACTGGCTTTATCAGGTTTGAGGTTTTTAAAACATAAAAAACTATTCACTGGGTAATTGGAGTGATGAATCACTTGCTATATCATGTTTATGGTTCTTAAAACATAACAGTCTATTCACTGGGCTGATGGTACACTGGCTATTCACTAAATGGCTTTCTAAGTTCTTAAAACATAACAGTCTATTCACTGGGCTGTTGGTACACTGGCTATTCACTAAATGGCTTTCTAAGTTCTTAAAACATAACAGTCTATTCACTGGGCTGTTGGTACACTGGCTATTCACTAAATGGCTTTCTAAGTTCTTAAAACATAACAGTCTATTCACTGGGCTGTTGGTACACTGGCTATTCACTAAATGGCTTTCTAAGTTCTTAAAACATAACAGTCTATTCACTGGGCTGATGGTACACTGGCTATTCACTAAATGGCTTTCTAAGTTCTTAAAACATAACAGTCTATTCACTGGGCTGTTGGTACACTGGCTATTCACTAAATGGCTTTCTAAGTTCTTAAAACATAACAGTCTATTCACTGGGCTGATGGTACACTGGCTATTCACTAAATGGCTTTCTAAGTTCTTAAAACATAACAGTCTATTCACTGGGCTGTTGGTACACTGGCTATTCACTAAATGGCTTTCTAAGTTCTTAAAACATAACAGTCTATTCACTGGGCTGATGGTACACTGGCTATTCACTAAATGGCTTTCTAAGTTCTTAAAACATAACAAACTATTCAGTCTTTATTTACCACTTCTAAGGTTAGTTGCGTATCCTTTACAGGACGTTGCAGAACCAACTCCACAGCCCCTGGCTGTTGTATGGTTTTTCTAGGCAAATTTACGTCCAGTAGTTTGCCATTGCTTTCTGGACGGTTGGCTTTCTTGATACCACTGTCGAAACCAACGCAAGGCGCATGGCCCGCAGTTGGGATAAAACCCGGCATTACAGCATTATGAAGCGTTCGCACAGAGCCGACTATTTACCACTTCTAGAGCATGTAAAAATTAAATATAATTTAAAAAAACTACAATTGGCTATTAAAGTAGCCTTCACTTACTATTGTGTTGTTGTTTTTTTGTTGTAGTATGTGTTGTAGGTGTCTGAAGTAATGAGGGCACTGACATCTTTTCTGAAACTGTGTCACTTCTGACTGCCCCAACTCTCACACACATATACTTCTATTAACCTAGGTGTGGATGTGTGGTGGCAGCTCTGAGTGGGTCCCATGTTCTAGGGTGGGTCACATCTACAGAGGTCCCAGAGTTGGAGGCGCTCCCAAGAAACGGCAAGAGGAGCCGAAAGTTCCTCATTCCTATGCGGTATGTTATTATTTTATGTAACTTATGTAAGCTTTTTCTGTATTTCATCAGATAAGTGAATGTTTTGTTAAATGTCTAAGGTTATATAAAGATTTACCTTTTTTTTAATGCGTTCAATACTTTCAGTGTTGTTTTTTTTTAAACATGATTCATTATTGTTTTAATATAATGGAAATTCTAACCACTTGCTGTGTTGTAGGAATGAAAAATGAATGAAAGATACCCCTGTGGTTGCTAGATTTATTGAGTATACACTGACCACAATTTAAAAATAAGACACTTGTGATGTTTAAGACATGTGGGGAATAGTAATTTTGCATCATTAAAGAAAAAGGGACCCTGTCCACGCTGTTGGTGCATTAGACATTATTTGCTAGACCCCATTTCTTGTAGACTAATGGGCACTTGATTGGTGATGTGGTCAATGTGTTTTGGGGTATTTCAGTTAAAGAGATTCATCTTATATTCTTCATTATACAAAAGGACTTCAAAGTAAACCTTTAAATTGTGATAGAAATTACATTGTCTTGTAACCTGCCAGTGTTGTTGTTAAGGATGTCAAGAGTGTTAAGCACAAACTTGGTGACCTCATAGTGACAGTTTAAAGATGGCCTCTCCATTGATTTGTATCACATTTTTAAAGGTTTTTTTATATAGAGGCTCCTCATAAGTTTCTTTCATGTTCTGAAGTATTGCACCTGATGAACTAAAGCATAATGTACCCGGTAATAAATTGCTTTTTCCTCATTACTTTATAATTTCTTAATAGGAATTAAAACACAGTCAAGAACGGAACTGACAACTTTACATCGTTATGTCACGGCCAAACACACCCAACAACAGTATCTGCCTTGAAAGCTTTTTTTTTCAAATATAAGTAAACAAGTGAGATGGTTTGGCCACCTGACGAGAATGCCCTGGTACCAACTGCCACAGAGAGCCATGCTGAAGAAGTATGGGGAACACCACGCAAGGGATGGGGCAACATCATCAGAAGCAACCTAACAGAAATGAACACCAGCTTGTACAATGCATTGGAACAAGCGCACAAACGATCCTTACATCTCCCCCCAACACTTCGCTGAGTCAATAGTTGAAGTGAAGAAGAATAAGAATTATAGTTAAAGTTTGAAAGATGTTTTGTAATTAAAGAAGTTTTAAACTGTTAATTTCTGCCAATCTTGCATGCACAGAATTATCTACGAGTTATACATGTCTGGATGGAAGATGAGTTTAAAGAATATTTCTACGCAAGAGAGCCCTGGTTGCGGGGAGCACCCTACGGAGATATCAGTGCTCAATTGCAGCTGAAAAAAGATAAAAAGTGTAAGAGTTTCCGCTGGTTTATGGAGAACGTGGCGTATGATGTTTACGAAAAGTTTCCCCCTTTACCACCCAATGTGGCCTGGGGTGAGGTGAGTGGTTCCCTTACACACTTGTTGAAACTCTACTTTGTTCTTAATTTGAAGATTTAAAGGTGATGATGAAAAAAAATCAGGCAGCCAGGTGCCATCTCCACTGTGAAAGTTGACTGCAGAGAATCTCCAACATACACTGTCTTTTGTCTTGGTAGTACATTCTTTCAGACTTCTGTTAAACCAACTCTTGATATTGTCCTCTTGTATAATTGTCTACCCTTTACTCTCTTGAGTTTAACTTTTATTGCTCCCATGGTTTTTAGAAGAGTGTTTGTCTTTTGATATAGTAAAGTAAAAGTAAAGTAAAGATCCCTTTACACGCCCTTAGGTGCATCGGGCATATGGGAAGAGCACCCCTATATTTTACAGACCGATCGGCACTCTGTGGATAATGTGGTCAGCATTACGCCGGCCGTTTTTACTTTCCCAGGACAGCCCATTCTGGTACCATTTGAGGCTGGATCGACCTGCGACGTCCCATACAACGATAAAATCCACGCAGCCCATGCAGGTTTCGATCGCGGTACGTTGGATTACGAGTCAGACTGGCAACGCCTTAGCCACGGATGTCTTTTAAAATCTCCACAGTATATCATGTGTCTCTTTTTTTGGTTTCTTTCTTTCATAAACTCTCTTTTCATTCCCTATTTCTTCAGAACCTCATAAGTAAAGGAGCTTTTTCCATCTTCATGCACATTGGGCTAGACCTGTATTTAACAGACTAGTTAGCAGTTGGTGGGTGATGTTGTCAACATCACTCCGGCCACCTTTACTTCCCAGGACTTTCCTGGTACTCATTTAAGACTGGGTCGACATGGAAGCCAATGTCTTTTTTTGAAGGAAAAAAAAAGTCCGGCTCTGTAAGGATCTGAACCTATGACCTTCAGATCTGCAGGCAAACAGGACCTCTTCAGCAACTCTGTATTTGATTATTTTTGTTTCCATCAGATGCAGCCTATTCTTCTGAATTTCCACAACTGCAGAGGTCAGTTAAATTAAATGTTCTAGCTGCTTGTTCATTGTCCAGGTTTCTGCAGCAAACAGGAGAGCTGAGTATACATAAGATTTGATCATTCTCACTTTCACTGTCCTGTTTAGATGAATATAAATTTCACTTTTGACAGGAATGTTGGTGAAGGAGATATATCTACATTCTTTGGTCGTTTCATGAGAAGGAGATAATTGGGGTCCATCGAGACTGTGGGAAGGTTTGGGGGAAGTGGGTGAGATAGAGGAAGATCATGATAGAAGATGCTGAACAGATTGAAAACCGACTGTCGGAATTGATTGAAAGTATACAAGACAGATGGTTGTGGATAGACATGATAACCGCCGTCACATGGTGTGAGCTAGCAGAAGAAGAAGGAGGAATGTTGAGAATATCATGGACAGGAAAAGAAAGACCCTCAGCAGTTACTGCCTTTGGGGTAACAAGTGTTAGGCCTTCATATATTCTAGGCCAAGGCTATTCATCTAAGGAGGCGACGTTGAATTGGCAACACTCAGCTTCGAGTCGAAAGAGGTGTCGACAAACATGAACACTGTAAGGTAGCCAAAGAAGAATAGTAAACCAACAAGGAACTGGTGCTATCAGTCGCCAAACGCTGAGGGATATACTGAGGATGGGATCTGATCGCTTATGGGCTTGTCTAATGAGGATAATCTGTCGATTAACTAATTAACTGTTCAGCTAAGTTTACTCGGGGACCAAAAATGTGAAAATGGGGATCATCCAGGGCTAGAGATAAAGAGATAATTAAATCCAATACAGCTAGCACTAAACAATGGGCCACCTGCTGTGCCTTCGCGGGCCACTTGCTATGCCTCCTCGGGCCTCAGTTGAATAGCCCTGTTCAAGGCTGTTACATATACGATAGGAGGGCCAGCTCCCTTCTTTGTTGCCTTTTCTTTCCAGGCAATTTTGAATTTCTCGACTTTGCATCTGTAGTGGTTGGAAAAAATATTTATAACTCAGCTGGAGATGAAATCTGGACATCATGGACAGAGAGAAGAAAGTAGTTGAAAGTCGAGAAGGTTGAATTCCTTGCATTGAGTTGACTTCCTTACATTGGGTTGACTTCCTTACATTGGGTTGACTTCCTTACATTGGGTTGACTTCCTTCATTAGGTTGACTTCCTTACATTGGGTTGACTTCCTTACATTGGGTTGACTTCCTTTCATTGGGTTGACTTCCTTGCATTGGGTTGACTTCCTTACATTGGGTTGACTTCCTTGCATTGGGTTGACTTCCTTCATTGGGTTGACCTCCTTACATTGGGTTGACTTCCTTGCATTGGGTTGACTTCCTTACATTGGGTTGACTTCCTTACATTGGGTTATTCCATATAGCTCAGTTCCTCTCTGCAGAATGGCTAGCTGTCTGCCTAGAGCAGGGTTATTCAACTCAGTTTGCTCTAAGAAGTGCCTGGGGATTCTTGGCAATAGCTAATGATCGACATTTGGTGCAGGAGAGCCTAGCATAGGGTACCACAACATCCAGTTTAAGAATGGAGGTGGAGGCAGTCACTGCAGCTTCCCACTGGCTAGAGAACACAGTACACATACACACACATAGACATTGTAGTCGTAACTGACTTGGAAAGCATGCCGAGGAAGGTGAGGACAGGCATGCTTCCCGCAGAGTGGCAAGCTTCACTTTGGATGTCAAGGGTGAAGAGCATTGTCTGGGTCTTTTCTCAGGGATATGCCAGTGTTTTGGAAAAAAAAAAGCAACTTGACAGATTTGCTGGTTCTGCACAACTTGTTGAAATGCTGATGCCTGATAAGGCAGATGTTGTTAAGGCCTTATGGAAGAGAAAATTGATCATCATAGTCTAGTGAGAGTGATGCAGCAGGGAGTGACGAGGAAATTTTGCTGATACTCAACGCTCAGAGGAAAATCAAGACAGAGGTATAATCAGACTGCTACAGTTCCCATTTGTATTGGAACTCTGCATTAGCTGCTGAAGGTGGGGACGGAGTGCTTTTAGAAATGCCCAGAGTGCTGTGATGTCGGTTCTTGAATCAACTCAACTAAGTTTATTCAGGTGCCAAAAGTTTGCAAATGAGGATCGTTACGAGAGATCATAGCCTTAGCATACAAATATCTTTAACTCTTTGAGTCCCAGGAGGTTTAGCATCACAGGCCCAAGGGGTAGTCAAGAGAGATGTAAAATCGGCGCATCATGCGTTCATTGGGCTTCTAGGTAGGAATCTATGAACGTATGATGCTTTCTTTTTGATTCAAAGAGTTAATACAATAACTGGCAATGATCCACAGGCTACCAGCTAGCATCATTCACACATGTACATGTTGATTTATTCGTGCTTTATGCTAACAGTAACCAGTGCAAATTTATTAAAGCTTCGTCATAAAGGCAGCGACCGTAAGTGCTGGGACACCATTGGTCAGTCGGTGAACGGTGGGCCCATAGGGGTCTTCTTCTGCCACGGACAGGGTGGCAATCAGGTGAGACTTGGGTCAGACTGGACAGTGACAGTTGTCAGACTTCTTGTTCTGTGTTGATGCAGTTGCTTCTTCTGTTTAGATCTGAATTGGATTAGAGCCTGTTTGTTATTTGTTTATAAACGTACGGATTTGATTGGAACCTAACTGTTTGTTATTTGTTTATAAACGTGTGGATTGGATTGGAACCTAACTGTTTGTTGCTTCTTCATGAACATATGGATTGGAACTTAACTGTTCGCTGATTTCTTTTTTAAACCTATGGATTAGACTAGAACTTAACTGTTGGCTGTTTTCTTTTTCAAACATATGAATCGGATTGAAGTCTAACTGTTTGTTGCTTTATTATGAACCTTTGGATTGGATTGGAACCTACCTGTTAACTGATTTCTTTAAAAAGCTATAGATTGGATTGGAATCTGTTTGTTGCATCTTTATAAATGTATGGATTGGATTGGAACCTAACTGTTCACTGATTTCTTTAAAAACATAAGGACTTGGTCGGAACCTACCTGTTAACTGATTTCTTTATAAAGATATGGATTGGATTGGAGCCTAACTGTTAACTGATTTCTTTATAAAGATATGGATTGGATTGGAGCCTAACTGTTAACTGATTTCTTTAGAAAGATATAGATTGGATTGGAACCTAACTGTTCGTTGATTTCTTTAAAAACATAATGACTTGGTCGGAGCCTACCTGTTAACTGATTTCTTTATGAACATATGGATTGGATTGGAGCCTAACTGTTCATTGGATTCTTTACAGACATATGCATTAGACTAAAGCCTAAGTGTGTGTTGATATCTTTTTGAACATATGGATTAGACTGGAGTCTAACTGAGCCTAACCAGTTGATTTCAAAGCCAGGAAAATGCTGAACTAAAATATTCTTTTTTCTCTCTAACTGCAAGGTACTAACATATTACAGTTAGATACCTTTGCTTATCATTTTGGAAAGAAAACGTGTGAATTCTAAAACCGTATATGTGTTTATCTGCTGTGAGAACTAAATGACACTGCATCAGCATATCACAGGAAGTTCGACAACAAGCACAGTTATCTATGCCAGTGGTTCTGAATTAGTTGTCTGCAGACCCCACACATTTAAGTTATATAAGGCAAACCCCCCCAAAAAACCAGTCCTAATTTTTTAAAGCAATTATAATATATATATATTAGAATTGCTTTAAAAAAATTTTGTTATATTTATGAACATTAAAAAGTAAGATCCATGACAAACTTTGAAGAACAAGCGGGCTCTGCAGGTCTTATCTAATTGGGAGCCACTTATCTATATGACTGAAAATCATGACAGCTGGACTCTTATGCTCCATGTTTTGTGTGCATTACATTTATGTAAGTCTTGATTTGAAATCTGCTAATGCTGTGACACTTCAGATACGAAGGCAGAAGAAATGTTGGTCACAGCAGCGAGGTGCGCTTAAAACCAACCGGTGTGCAAAGTCTCTAAGCCAGGTATACAGGAACAACTGTTAGTACCTTTGCTTTGTAGTAACCTCCCCCTGCCAAGGAATGGAAATAGTACCCCTATCCCTTAGATATCCCTCTATAATACCTCTACCCCTTAGATATCCCTCTATAGATATACCTCTATCCCTGGCAAGGTCACGGGTGGTGAGCATACTTTGGATCTTTTTTCCAGGCCATGCTTGCATAGCAGGTAATAAACAGGCAGACAGATTAGCTGGATCTGCACCACTGGGTGGTGAATTGATGCAAGGCAGGTGTGGTCAAGACCCTTTGGAAACGAGCAACGGAATCAGTAGAGAAACAAGATTATAATGGCCTGGAGAGAATGAGGCACCTGTGTATCCAGAGGGTCTGGCCGGTTCACTACACTCAAAGGAAAGGCAAGACAGACATATAACCAGATAGTGACCAGTACCATCAGTATTGGAACTCTGCGCTGGCTGCTGAAGATGAGGACGGAGCACAGATGGGAATGCCCCGAGTGCTGTGATGTCAATTTACTCAACTCAACTCCCTTAGTATAAGAAGTTGTAGAGCTTTACCTTCATCTGTAAATAGTAATGGTAGGAGTTCTCTCTCCAGTGTATAAAGAGTTGTAAAGATACATCTATAAATGGAAATGGTAGGACATTCCCCTCTGTGAATAGTTGAAGTACTTCATCTTTCCATCTATAAATGTCAATAGTAGGACTTTCCTCCCCAAATATAAATAAGAGTGATAGAGATTCATTATTTTATTTATAAATGAAAATGGTAAGCGCTTTATTTTCTGTCTCAAAATATAATGGTAAGTACGTACTTTCCTCACCTGTAATAAATTTAATAGGGCTATCTAAACAGGAAATAATGAGATGAGTTCAAGAGGAGTGAAGAAATAAGATACATTTCTGGACAACCACTAGTATCACTTCCCTTGAAGTTGAAGTACATCTTAAATAAGCCAGTAAAACGGATGGACACCCAAAACTCGGGACTTGGTGCAAAGCTAGTAAGTCCAAATGGACAAACAACTAGGTCTTTCTGCCGGAATTCACAGCAGGTGAACGAGAAGAAGAGAAGAAGAAGAATAAAGTATCAACAGTTGTAAGACAGAGAAGATGGCGCAATATTGGACACATTTTGAGAAGAGGAACAGAGAATCACCAGACAGGCACTGAAATGGGAAATAGAGGAAACAAGGACATCCAAGAGGAGTCTTAAACTTCTGTCTCGTGTCCTTTCAGTCAACTCTGATACAGATAAGACACAATTAGGGCAGTGACAAAAGCTACACCATATACTACCCTGCTGTCCAGGAAAGATAATGACCAAATTGGGCAATGGTAAGGGTTAATAAGGGGAAAACATTGTAACGGTAAGGCAAGGGACAGCTCAGTAAGGGGAAAACATTGTAAGGTAAGGGGCAGCATGGAAAGGGGGAAAACACTCCAATCTACTCCTTTGCATTGACTAGATGTAAACCCTAGTGGACAGTGTGGCTGTTTGTCCACTTCTAGCTTTGGTCTTGTTGCAGGACTTGAGTGTTGCATGCACATCTGTTTTACACTTCTGGCTCATTCATGTACAGACTGTTGGTTCCTCACCTCAGGCAGATGTACTCCAGGTTTGAAGGAAACTTTGATCCTTCTATTTACATTGGTCGGACCTCTGGTTATGAACCTGTTTCTAGGATGACATCAGAGAGGTGTAGTTAGACCTTGAATACTATGAGTTCTAGAGCACCACAATGATCTTCTTCTTCTTTTCTCTCCTCCTGAAATGCATCAGGGCATCAGGAGGCCATTATGTTACCTGTTAATGAAGTTAATTCACAACTTCAAAAAGACACTGGCCTCAGAAGCAAAGGGTGCAGAGCAAGCCATGGGGAACCATGAAGGACCTGCTACTGACATGCGAGTTCATAGACGCAACCTACCCAATGGTCTGATCTGAGCATACAAAACCGAACGCAAAGAAGAAGAAAGAAAAAGTTAACTCTGTCCCTACCATATGATTCATTTCATGTGCAGCAGTAGTTGATGGGCTGGCAATTATACACCTTTTCATTTTATTGTACTGATGTTTATGTGAAATGTTTTGTTACACTTTCTTAGTGATTAGGCATGGTTATCATCACAGTACTGTAGTCAGCTGGCATGATACTGACGATATCACCCACCAAGTGCTGATTGGACTATATCAAATATTAGTCTTGCCCTATATGCCCAAAAGCCGTGGAAAAGGGTCTTATACTTTTACTTACTGTGGACAGAGGCAGGTGCTCCAATCTCCTCCTCAAAAGCTCCAGGAGTGTAGCACGACTGATGACACCTGTACTGTGTTGTTAATCAGACTCTTGGTTCCCTTAGTGTAATGTTCACTTCTTGCAGGTCCATCCTACACCCCCATGTTTGACACCCTGGACAGGGAAGCAGAGCGGCGCCCTGGGGATCTGCGACCTCTTCACAGGGGCACCGCGAAATATTGTAAAAGCTTTATAATTAATTTAACCAAGACACAAATAGCCATACGTTTAATTAGGTTAGGACGTCGTGCAAAAACTGTAATTTAAAAAAGCCTCCCCAACCAAGAAAAGTTTGGGAAGCACTGGTCTAGCCTTCTGTGAAAGAGTCAATTATCGCTAATCCTGACTTGTCACTGAGTGTACATGCCGCAGGAATGTAAGGCCAGATGTGTCAACTTGATTGCCTCTGTGTGTATTTTCCCCGCACATGGTCTGTTCAAACATAGAATGTTTCAGAATAGGACACCCAATCAAGTTGCAGAAAATCTCATAGATGCACCCCAGAATTCCCCCCCACACACCCTCCACAAACACACACACTCTAGCCCCAGAGCCCACACAGGGATCCATGCAGATATCAACTCTGGGGGTTTTGAATGTATCAAGAATGATCTGGAAAATTATTGCATCATAAAAATATGAGCCCAAACTCGTGTGCCCAGTGTGTCACTGATATGAGATGGGTGTTTTATAACTGTCAGTGTGTATGTTAGTTAAACTCATAAATGAGGCCATAAGAGAAAAGGCTGGGAAAGAACCAGTTGTAAATTACATACAGAGATAACAAATCAAGTGGTTTGCCCACTTGAAGAGAATGCCTTGCTACACCATACCATACAATGCGTACACCATAAGAGGAGTAGGACGTAGAGCACAAGGTAGACCAAGAACAAGATGGAAGGATAACATCAGAAAAACTACACCAGCACACTGTGTCTTTGGTCGAGGTGGTCAGAAGAGCAAGAAGCAGCAGAATCTTAAATCTCCCTCAACACTGCAAATGGCAAAAGAGAAAGTGACAAAGAAGACATGTGTATATCAAATTTATAGGGGCACAATGAAAAACATCTTGTGCAATATATCCTTGTCATTGAGAGTTAGAAAAATAATTCTTGCTTGCTACATACATCCAGTTTTAACATATGGCTGTGAATCCTGGACAATTGGTAGGCAAGCCAAACAATTTCTTGAGGCCTCAGAGATGTGGTTTTACAAAAGAATGCT